CATGAAATGGCTAAGCAGAAAGTCAATAGATCTCCTAACAGAATTGGCCCTGAAAGGAAATCATGTTGACATATAATAATCAGACTTTCCAATGTTAAAGAAAAGGAAACAATCCTGAGAGCACCCCAACAAAATAAAGACAGTGACATAGAAAGGCCATGCTATCAGGATATGTGCGGAATTTTCCCACTGAGATCATTCAGGCAATATTGCAAAGGAATGATATTTGCAAAATTTTGAAAAAAATTACCAACGAGGAATTCTATATTTATCACAAAATCATGACAGAGAAATAAAAGTATTTACAGAAAAGGAAAAACTAAAGAACTTTATGAAAACAAGATCACCTTTAAAAATATATTTAAAGGAATTACATGCGCAGATTAATCTGTAACAACAATAGAGAGCAACATATAAATACATGAGAAATGGAAGTGTTTCAGAAAAATATTCTACATGAGCAATCTAAAAGTGAACTGGAGTTAAAATCCAATCAAGTAATCATAGGCAACATTCTGCAATAGAGATATAAATAGAGAAGTAAACAAACAGTAGCAGAGGAAATAGAACAGACAATAAATCGTCAAACGGAGAAGATTTTGAACCATTCACAATATGAAGAAACTGCTTTGAAATTGAAAGGAAAACTACATCAAACAAATAATTTTCAAAGAAAAATTTAAAACTTCAACAATACAAATGAGATGAAAGCCATATAAACAAGACAAACAATAAGATAACAAGAGTAGAGTATCCACAAGACAATAAAGAAACAAAAGGCACAAAGCCCAAAAAGTAACCATGAAAGCTGAACCCCATAACTGAATAAAAAGCATATAAAAATGACACTAACAAAATAATATTTATCCATAAAAACTCTGAATATATGTGGGCCAATATCATCAGTAAAAGGCAAAGACTAATAGAATGGATTAAAAAAAAACAGAGGCTTTCATATACCACTTACCAGAAACATGCCTTAGAAATAAAGATAAACATAGACTCAAAATCAGAGGATGGGAAAAATATACCAAGCTATCAGTAATACCAAGAAAGATGTAGTAGCAATATTAATCTGAGACAAAATAAACATCTAGATTAATAATATAATAAATGACAAAGAAGGTCACTATATAATTAGGAAAGCTTGAATTGATCAAGAAACCATAACTTTCATTAATATAAATGCACGAAATGTAAAAACATCAAAACATATCAATCAAATTCTCCCAGAAATGAAGAGAAAACATAGATCAAATGATACAATACTGGAAAAGTTGAATACATTAGTTTCAACTAAAGATTGATCAACTCTAAAGAAAACCAACAAAGGTACAGAATAAACCAACCTCTTGATCTCAGATATATATGGAACACCTCACCAACAACAATTTCATTCATTTTCTTCTCTAGCATTTATGGTAGCTATTCTACAACAGATCATATTTTAGATCACAAAAGAAGCATCCAAAAATTTAAAAAGCATTGATATACTACAAACCATCATGTCAGACCACAAGGCCATAACTTCAGAACCCAACAATAGAACGATCAACTCCAAAAATCATAATACAGGGAAATTGAAAATGAAAACCTGGGAGCTACTTAAAACACATGATGTATGCACATCAAATAATTTCATGAGAACAATCATCAAATAACCCCTAGATTGGGAAAAAATACTCAGTGATATTACATCAGATAAAGCGATAATCTCCAAAATCGACCACACCTTCACAACAAAAATATAAATAAGACAGTTAAAAATGAACACATGACATGAATAAACAATTTAACAAATTTGACATCCAGGTGGCGAACAACCCTATGAAGAAACATGCACATTCTTCAGCAATAAGAGAAATACAAATTGAAAGCACACTTGTATCAAAAGTCAATGAATGAAAGAAGGAATCATAAATGCTGGAGAGAATGTGGAGAGATCAAAAGACGATCACATTGCTGGTAGGACTGTACCATTGTACCACCATTAAGGAAATCAGTACGGCACCTCTTTAAACAAATGCAAATACAAAGATCTTATGACCCAGCAATCTCTCTACTGGGTATACAACTTAAAGAAACAAAGAATACAACGTGAACAGGCGTATCCATGTCTATGTTTATTGCAGCACTTTCTATAATGTCAAAGTCTCAAAATAAACAAAAATCCCTCTTATAGAGGATAGAATGAACAAACTGGGTCAAATCCATACAACTGAATATTATGCTTAATAAAACAAACAAATGGAAAACTCTCTTATATGCTGTCAGACAAGGACAAAGCTAGAGAACATGATACTGAGCTAACTTGAACAATCGTACACAGGTAAATATCTGATCACATCAGTATTATGAGGAAAAGCAAAGAAATGTTGCTTACACAAGAAAAGACATTTCTTGGATGGCTATGAGATGGCCAGGGAAAAGGGGCAAGAAAAGCAGGAGGGATAGGACACGAAGACAAAGGGAGGATGGCAGGAGGGGAAAGGGTGAAAGAAGACAATGAATAGAAGGCTATCAGGGTATTACTATTGATTTCATTTCTTGAGATAAGCTGTGTAAATACATAGAGCGTGCTCTTTAAAAAACAAAACATAATTAATTAATTTGTAACCCCGCCCCCCCCCAGATTCCTGATCCCTCAAACTGCAATAATAGTCTGAGTGGGGAAAAAATAAAGGAAAACTGAAATGGACTTGGAGTCTTTTGTGATAAGCAGGTTCATTTCCAGAAAAAGTAAAAGCAACAAACAGACATTTTGTTTGGGGAAAATTTGAAAATAAAAATAAATAAAGTGCTCTGCCATCCTGTGAATTAAGACCCATAGCAACACTGTGGGACAGAGTACATTTGCCAAAATATCTCCTTAAAATGTGAAGAGAAAAAAGTTCATTCTGAGGACTAAGGTACATGTGATCAGAGCCATGTTATTTTCAAATCAACCCATATGCATGTAAAACTGGAAAACGAATAAAAAAGAAGATAAAATAATGGATAAATGTGAATTGTGGTGTTGGTGAAAAATAGCAAATAAAAAAAGGGCAGCCATAAAAAGAGAAAATTATTTCAAATAAGTACAGTCAGAATGGTCTTTAGAAATGAGGATGGGAAGCCTTTATCTCGTGTGCTTTGGACTAGTGAATCAGAAGTACCAGTCTCTAGCAAAGGAGTACATGCTCTGTAACACAAAAGGTCTGCAACAGAGAGGGCGTCCCAGAATGAGATGAACTCTGGCTGCTACAGTGGTGAGGATGGTGCAGGACAGAGCAGTGTTCTGTTCTACTGTACCAAGTGTCGTTATGAATAGGAACCAACTGCATAGGAACTAGACACAAAAAAGTAATATTTGGTCATTTTTCCTCAAATCACACTTTATTTCTTAACACTTTTGTTGTGTTCCTATCTGGATGTAGGAAGATAACATAGCACTTTTGGGCAAAGATGCAGCCTAGAAGCCCCACACTGGAAGCTAAGATGGAGAAGACCTCCACAGCCACCATGACCTTCCCCTGGGTGCTGTGGTAGACAGGGAGGAAGGTCACCCAGACACTGCAGAACACCAGCATGCTGAAGGTCAGGAACTTGGCCTCATTGAAGGTGTCAGGCAGGTTCCTGGCCTGGTAAGCCAGGAAAAATGTCCCCAGGGCCAAGAAGCCCAGGAATCCCAGCAGACAGTAGAAAGCAGTGGCTGAACCCTTGTTGCACACAATGATGATGTTTCTGGGCTCTGAGTGTGTGTCTATGTCCACAAAAGGGGGAGAGGTTCCCAGCCAGATGCCACAGATAATCAGTTGGATCGAAGAGCAGATGGGAACCACAGCATTAGAAGCCCCAGACAGCAGCAACCACCTCATGGTTCTTCCAGGTGTCAAGGCCTTGAATGCCAGGATCACAGTCAGGGTTTTGGCCAAAACTGTGGAAACAGCCACAGTGAACACGACTCCAAAGGTGATTTGCCGGAGGATGCAGGTGGCTGTGTTGGGGCGGCCAATGAAGAGTAAGGAGCAGAGGAAGCAGAGGAGGAGGGAGAGGAGCAGGACATAGCTGAGGGCCCGGTTGTTGGCCTTGACTATGGGGGAGTCTCGATGCTTCACAAAGACCCACAAGACCCCTGCAGTGATGACAGAGAAGCCCAGAGCTGTACAGGCCAGAGCCATCCCCAAGGGATCTCCATAAGCAAGGAAGCTCACAATTTTGGGCAGACAGCGGTTCCTTTCCATGTTGGGATACTGACTTTGAGGGCACTCCGTACATGTATCACTATCTGGTGAGAAACGTGACATGGAGTTTTTAAAAAAATGGAATGACATGTTTCAAAGCTTAGAATGTGTTTGGTGGAAGGAATTGTGCTTTTTAAAAAATATTCATCACCACTTTATCTGGCCACTCACTATTTCTTTGAATAAAACATATTTCATGTATCCATGAAGAATTATGTGACATTTAAAGATAGTCCTTCTTAGTGACCGTTGAGTGGACCTCACTCATGATGCACCTTGAGGGCAGAACAATACTGGCCTCCAGGTGGTTTTCTGTAACTTGGATCTCGTGGGCATATGTGGGAAAGGGAAAGATTTCTCCCAAGTTGCCCCACCCCCAAATATATGCCAAACTTAGCTGCTTACTACACATGGTCAATGACTATACACATGGAGGTCAACAGAATTAGGTCAGGGATTATTCTCCCTAAGGGCTATCAGCCATCCAGAGTAAGCAGACAACAATGTTTATCCCACAATAAGTAGGGCCCACTCCCTTCTGATAAGGATAGTAGTAATTTTTTGCCCTAAAGGAGAGCCCAGGGACGTCAAGCCCCCTCAAGGGTGACCAAGTTTAGGCTGCCATCATGAATCAAGGGCTCGCCCTTGTTGTTACATGTATACCTCTAGTTCCACCCTTTCCTATCTTTTGTCCCTTGGGAGATCATCCCCTTCCTTTTACTTATCATGCCCATGGTATATCCCACTCCTATTGCTTGTATTGCCTATTATACAGCCCCTTCCTGTGATGTATGACTTTACCTGTAATTGGGAGGCTTGCACATCCCAAAGATATACAAGCCTTGGTTAGCAAGAAAGCTTTGGTTCAGGCTCTCTCCTGGTCTCTCTCCCCTGCCCTCTTGGCACATGCTCTGCGCTTACCTGGCTGTTCAGATCATGGTCATCCAGGAGGTGAGCATGCTACCATGAAATGTGTCTGACTTCTTCATTTTACTCTCTCTCCAATCTCTCTCCTTCTCTATGATTTTATTATAATATTTATATATCTCAACCGAAAAATTGCACTTAGTGAAACCATGCTTAATTGTTGGGGGCTGTTTTCCAGCACAGATATAGATAGGCAAATCTGTCTTCTGAGCTAGCTTTTGGGAAAAGTCAGAATGTATTTTTGTGTTTACCTCTTTGCCCACCTCCCAGCCCCAGGTACTCCAGGAGGCTGGGTAGAAGTGAGAGGAGCTGACATTTGTATTTTGTCAAATCCTACCTGTTCTATTAGATATTTCTCCCTCTGGACATGAAATACACTCAAAACAGCAAATGGGCTTCCCCATCTGAGTGATTTTCATGAATCCTGGGTCACAGCTATTGCTACACCAAGAGTGAGGCGTCTGCAAGAAGGAAATCAATGACAACAGTTCAGTAGTCTTGTTTGAATTAATCATATTAACTTAGAATGTGATCATAGTGCATATTTTTTTGGTTTTTATTTAAAGATCCTGACGCATAAGGGCATGAATGGTCATGAACCATAGTGACACTACTCCTATAACACACAGTAGAACAGCCCCATCAGGATCCAATTCTCTATTCTTTAAGCAAGCACATCAACAGGGCTTCCTCTGTTATAGCCAATGTAGGTTCCTATCACCACCCTTTCAGCTAGCATCCAAGATATTAACTGTTGCACCACCACCAGCATTATAATATATACAAACTTATTTTTGAGGTGCCCTGCAAACTTTGACCCTGCTGGGTGCAAACCTATTAATTAATATAGATTTTAAAAAGAGTCATGTGACCACAGAGTTATTCTCATGTCTTGCTCTGCTTTGGGATATAAATGAAGAATTCATCCAAACCTCTGTGAATCCTACAGGCCATTCTATCAGCTCCTCCTGGATCATCAAACCTTGTCCACGTGGATCCTGGGGGATGAACTCTCCGACTTTCACGGGTAGGTGAAGACCACCAGGAAAATTCAGAAAGTTCATAATCTCATATCGTGACACACAGTTTCTGTTCTCATTCAGGGAGACATGTTCTCCAGCACTGTTTATCAGTTGAGCATTTTTTAAGAATGGGTGGAGCTAAAGAAGAGAAATCATTAAGAAAGGAGATGAACATGGACATTAGAGACAAAAAAGTCAGATGTGAACTAAAGATAAATTTAGTTGCCAAGCAGTTACACAGGTTTTCCTCATACGTGTGCCTATGTCTGTTTCTGAACCTGTATTATTTCAGGATGTTCACCGACTATACTGCGTTTTCAAGGAAGAGCACTCTACCCTACCGCAGATAAATAAAAACTTCAACCCATAACAATCGGGCAATTGTGACTTACAACAACACTGTGTGGTAAGTGAATGGAACTGCTACATCTGGTTGTCTTGTTCATACTTGCCAGACCACTTGGATTTTTTGTTGTTGCTGTGGTTGTTGTCGTTGTTTTCCATAGTGAGGCTGAGTAAATTGGCATCACCAACATTAAGGCTAGCAGACTAGAGCAAATAAAATAATTTGTGCTACCTGTGCCTCACGAGTAATGTCTATACTTTCCAGAAAATTTCACTTCTGGTGACTCTATTGGGAATCAAGAGCATCAACCCCAACCATTGTTTTTTTTAGGGCTCCTGAAGAGATTCATCAAATGCAGAAGAGATAAATATTCCTCGTCAATAAACAGTTAACCGTAGATGCATGGATTTCTTTCTGGAGTTTTAATTCCATTGGTGTATATGTCTATTATGGTCCATGGTTAAGCCTCAGGCTGCTATTCACATTATCACCAGTTCAAACAACCAGAAGCTCTGAGGGAGAAAAACTGGGCTTTCTACATCCAAAAACAATTACAGTTCATGAACCCACAGAGTCACTTGAGTCAGCATTAACTTGATGGTAGTGAGTTTGAAAATATATCTATGAACCACCCATGCTTTCATTTCCTTACCTCTTTAGTATGATTTGAAATTAGGGAATATTAAACATCCCTAATCTTGAAGACTACATTACATTACCAAAATTAAACTCACTGCCATCGAGTCAATGCTAAATCATAACAACTGTACAGTTTACATGAGAGAAAGTTCAGTCCTTATCATGCTGGTGGTTTCAAACTGCTGACCATGTGGTTCCCAGCCTAACAGTAACCACTATGCCACCAAGGTGGAATCATAAAATTTTAACACAATAAATTAATTCTCAGATGCTAACAAGCCCTTAAGATGAATCACAATAAACTATCTCAGTAAGTTTTACCTGCCAAGGGAGAAGCACAGGGTATTCTGTTTCCATCCGGTATGTAGTTTCCTCGCCCATTACAATCATGTCATGGAGTGCATGGGCCACCAGGTGGACAGCATTATAGAGATCATTGATGGATTTCATTATGGTCGCATCTCTTCTGTCCACAGTCACTGACTCCAAGGAGGCATTGGGTGGGCACTCATATATTTCCCCACAGACAGTTCCTGCAAGTGAGCAGTTAAAAGCGGAGAGCCAGACTTTGGTAAGGTAAAGGTCTTCTGGGTACTTGGAAGGAGTCACTGTCCTGAGAAAGTGTTTGAAACCAGGAATCTCAGTGTTCTGGTGTGCAAAGAAAAGACTCCCATGGAAAATATCTAATAAATCTGAAAGTAATGTCAAAGAAAAATCCCACCGGGTTGTAATGATCCATATCTTGTGGGTTATACAGTTATAGTCCTGAATAGCAGCCATAGTTAGTAATATATTGATCTCACCATAAATGATGAATGCATTTGCAGATGATTCGAGGACTCTGGGGAGGTAGGTCGCATCTCTTAGGCTGTATATTATCTTGGTCACAGGAATTTTTTCTATAAGTGCCACACAGACACCTTTGAGGGCCATCTCTTTTCGAAGAAACCAAATGAACTGTTCACCTATTGGATCATCTGGCACTAAGATACCAACCCATGTCCATCCAAAATGGATCAATAAGGAGACCAGGCCTGAGGGCAGACAACTGTCATTGAGGGAAATTTGATAGAGAGAGGAAAAGTGGTCCTTAGTTTTCAACAAAGGATCAAAAGTGCTATAGGAGATCTGAATCAAAAGAGAGAAATATTCCATGTGAGTTCTCGGAAACAAAGTTATAAACAGAACTGTAGTGAAACGTAATGTTGACCCCTAGTGATTCCATGTGTACAAAGCAGAGCTATGCGCCTCTGAATTTTCAAGCAGATTGTCGGGGACTCCACAAGTGGTGTGTGAATGGGGAAGTGAATTTAGACTCACAGTAGTAACCTAGAGTAGGACTGACCAAAGAGATTTCTAGGCGGGATCTTTATGGGAACAGATCAGAACATCTTTCTCCTATGGAGACGCTGGTGAGTTGAAACTGCTGACATCTCAGCAGCTTGGCCCTTGAGGTAGTTAGTTTATTCTCCCAACCTTGCTGATAAACACATGTGAGGTTAATTAAAGTGCAGAGGGATAAATGACTCGGTTAGCATCACCATTCGATTTCTCGGGTCTCTTGCTTTCTGATGGTCAGACCAGGGTGCAGTTGCCTTAGTCAGTTCCCTGCTTCAGTTTGCAAGGCCCACTTCCTGCAAAACATCCTTGAGGAGAATCCACGTGGGCTTACCCCACTGCAGATCTGGTTGCTGGAGCACCTGTGCAAAGATCCCTGCCAGCGCTGAGAGATTTACACATTCACTGACTTGGCTTTCCTCCTGCAGTGGGCATCATTGCTTCTGTTTTGTAAGATGAGGAAGACTTTGTGGATTGGTGTTGGACATATTGGTTAATGTTGCACTTGTGGGCTTGGGTAGCACTGGGATGGGATGTTTTCTTGATGTGCACTTAACCTTTATATAAAACTCTCTCTAATACATGAGTTTCTGTGGATTTGCTTCTCTAAAGTATCCAGACTGACAAAGCCCTTATCAGTTTGCACGGACAGGGCTCCTATAGCCCACCTTACATTGCTGACTGGAACCCTGTGGATATGATATAATATTCAGATTTAGTTTACTGGATTTAAATTCTGACTCTATTGTTTATAGCTGAATGACCTCAGAGAAGTTAAATAAGTGCTGTTCATCATTGTTTCACATTCTAAGAGGTAACCTAATCATCATAACTTCCCATTTTCTGATGGCAACTGCATGTGTTAGTATATCTGAAGCATTTAAAGTGTGCTAAGGAGAAATATTGTGTTCTCATAATATGTGTCGGTGTTCTGACCCTTACACCAGTGGACCCAATTGGTTTTTAGAAATCAGGATGTCTGTCATGTTAATTAGTCCAAATCTGTAGGCCCTGTCCTAAGCCTGGCACTTCTCAGTGTTGTAAAGACCAGCACAGACAGAGATGCACAAAGACAAATGTGGGGAAATGATCCCATGTGATGATAGCCAAGGAATCAAGGAGCAAAAACTGGAGAGACAAGTATTTACCCACCTCCCCCAAAGTTGACAGAGCAATATCCTCACTCTAGATTCAGGGCTCTGAATTCCGATTCTAGCCTCTAATGTGAGAAATAAAAATCTATTTTTGAAAACCACCCTTTGGTGGTATTTGTTACCACAGCACTAAGTAACGAAGGCAATGCCCATACATCGCAGCACATGGTTGGATATTGCTATTTTAAGTGAAAGATGAAATAAATAACTTAATGAAGAGACCATGGAATGAATTCTTCCATTCACGTGTACATGCCATTCGGCCTATTCCAGAATGCTAGTTTGCAGGTTTGAGAGGTTCTGAGGAACAGAATTTCTAGAACTCGCTTTGGCTTGGCTGGGAAGCAACAGCAGTCTCTGGCAGATTTGTTCCTGCCCCAGGTTTCAACTCAGAATAATTGTTCCACCTCATTGACAAGCAATGGGCAATACCTATGTCCCTTTTCTCTTCCACTTAAGTGGCGGGAGAACCAAACTGAGGAAGAAAAGGTCCACTCCCCGGGTGCCCGTACCTGTGGCATCCTGTAGAGGTCCAGCAGTGCCCCAGCTTGCACCAAGAAATCAGAGGGGATTCCTGCAATGACTGCCATGTTCTTTGTGTGTGTCTGGCAGGTGTAGTTAGGGATGGGGGTCTCCGTTTCTGACAGCCATCCTAAGACACTCTCCAGAGTTGTGAAAACACTAGGAATGACATGGTAGAGCCTGAAACCCAGGGAAATGTTGGGGAGTACGAGGTGACTCTTGTTTATCTCCTCAAGGGCAAAAAGAAATATCAGAACATACTCATAATTTTGGAAGTTCAACCTGGAAAAGGCCAAAAAATAAATGCACTTTAGAAATTAAAGGGATACATTTTAAAACTTCTACAGGCTTTCATTTATAAATCTACACAAACTTTCTGCGTCTTTTCAAATTTGAAGGTTTGTGCAAATCTACCTTGATCAGGTGCAACAACAAGGTTTTCTAAGAGTTTGTGGTCACTGAGTGTCTCTGTGCCACATTGTTGTAAGTCTCACCACATTCTAACCTGTTCCTAGTGGTGGCTCATTCTTAGTACGTTACAGCCAAGCATCAACACAGATTGAGTATGCACTGGGAAGCAAAAAGGAAGAAAAAAATAAAATAGTGTGACTCGCTGTTTTGAGTTGTTTTGATGCAAAATCTTCAATCTCTACAAGGCATGATTGGCCCAAATCAATAGGACCTATTGAGAGATTTGGACTCAGCTGTTTGTACACAGAAAATGTTGTGATTATATCCTTGGGAACTCAGCTTATATGCATGCTGTTTCTAAAACATCACTGGGTTCAGACCTAAAATCCCAGACTTGGAGAAGAGATAAACAATTCCTAAAATGAGTTAATATTAAAAAGACATGAGTTCATTGAGGAGAAGGGATTACAAAGGAAGTCTTTTGCTTGTATTTGCATTTACATATCAAACACTGATTTTGGAGTTGACCCAACAAAAAGTGGGTTAGGAACTTTGGAAGTAAAGAACTCGATGAAGCAAATGTTTGTGATCCAGGCAATGAAGCCAGGCAGGCCAGGGAAGTAAACAGAGAAAGCTTGGAGGAAGAACGGCTTCATGATACAACAGGATCATCAGAATTCTTTTGGTGAAACTGTCCACAGTCAGACAGCATTTGAACAAGCTCTACGTGAACAACGCTTTGATTCTGATGATGTTCTTCCCCTTGTGCAAACACTCTGCTTATGCTCCAGATTGTTCCCCCATTCTTCACCTAAACTTGGCGCCCTTTAAGCATCTCCACTAACCTTCCGAGTTGCCATTATCAATCTGATTTCACATACATATATCTTTACAAGAGCGCATTGCTCTAGACAGACTTTCTTTACTTATAAAGATTATCCAAGTCTTTCCCTTTATTGATTTCAATGATGATTAAGAGGACAATTTTTGTTTAAGATTTAAAGGTAAAGATTATCTCAAGGCAATAATTTGTGGGGTTCAACCCACCTCCATGCCTCTAGAGAATATCCTCAGCATTTTTGAAAAACACACTTCTCATACAGTGTGCTTCATAATCTATGGGACAGATCACCAGAAGCAGAGAAATTTCACCAGAAGTCATACCGTAGTCTTAGGCAGCGCTGATGACACAACAAGCAAGACAGCAGTTCACGGGTTTTCACCACAGCAAAGGTTCTGCTTCTACAGTTAGCTGGCATCTGTTTTCTTCCCGATCCCACAGAATCCTCCTAGACATTCAAAGTCTCTTCATGTTTACAATCCCTGACAGGGACACATTGCCCAGTAAGCAGGGAAACACAGGCTTCCTTATGTTTCCTTCCTAACTGAGAGTGCACACTGACACTTGTTTTTCATATGTGGGGAAATGCATGCATTTGTTCACTACAGATCAGTAAGTAAGCTTCAGGAAGCCTAGGCTTGCCTTGCTTGTCAGGGAATCTGTCCCTGGCCTCGTGGAGAAAAGCAGTCTGAAACACACAGAGAAACTTGCCAACCAGTGCTCCTCGTCCCTTGTCCTTTGAGTCTTTCTAACAGCTCTGTAATGGATATGAAACCCTTGCTGATGAGACAGGCATACTGATTGCCATGAGAGCGCACCTTGATGGCTTCCCCCTACATTGAAATCTGTATTTTAATGGCTCTCCTTTAGCACTAAACTTCAGCCCAGATTTTAATATTTTTAAATCCAGAGAGTCTAAAACCTCTCAAACCCCATGTCAGCAATAAGACAGGATGTATGGGTCGCTGTTGTGGGATGTTATGTCCTTGATTGATATAGACATTTGCGTTTAATGGTTAAGCAGGGTTTGAGGTTCAAGTCTACCAAGCAGTGCCATGGAAGGAATGCTCAGTGATGTGCTTTAGTAGAAAATGCAACCAAGGAAACCTCAAGGAGTCGGTTCTACTCTGTAACACACGCGGCTTCCAGAAGTCACAATTGTGTCAACAGGAGCAAGTTTGGGTTTTGTACCAAAGGTCATATTTTCTACACTGAAGAAAAATATGACAGGAAGAAAAAGGTAAAAAAGATTCAAATCACTGACTAGAGTAAAATGGAACATCGGGTTTGGTGAAGCAAAGCATCAATGAAAATGAGGGCCATTCGCCAGGAGACAGGTAGCGACCGTGGCTGAAACTAAGGGCAGAAACCTGCCCAGGACCAAGAATGTGGTGCAGGTTCCCCAACATTTCATTCGGCTGCACATAAGTTCACCTGAATCAGAGCAGTTTCAAAGTCATCCAGGCAAAGAAAGGGAAGAATTTATGAACCAGAGCTCAGGGAGAATCTCAATGTAATTTCCATGTTCCCCATTCACACACAGACACACAGAGACTTACAGGTCAAATGTCACATTTTGTCTTGGACTGGTCACAAAAAAATTCCACTGTGCTTCTGAGTTGTATGGCTGCCTGTAGAAAGGGAGAAAGCCCCCGAGCACCAAATCTCCATCCCTGTAGTAACTGGGCTGCATGTATTTGAGACACTCATTAAAGCTCATGGTGGGTTCCTGGGGTGGAACCTGGCAGAGCAGAAACAAAAAGAGCAGGGAGAGCATCCCAGCCACAACTCACCAGCATGAGGCAGAGCCCTGATTCCCTGGTGAACGGGGAGAAGAACTGGAGACTGGACAAGTCAGCCTTCTACAGCGAAAAGCTGTAGCTGTGCAGGACACTGATGAGATCGCTCTCTCCTTCAGATTGGCAGTTGCTCAGCAGGAGGACAGTGCTGGATGCAAAGAGCTCCAGATATATATTCATCTGCCCTCAGTGCCTCTGTGCCCCCAGGTTCTGTGTCCTGCTCTTTCTCTCACTCCCTCTGTCCAGTCCCAAATGGTCACTTCTGAGGGAAAGAACACCTGGGCCCCATCTTGCCCTGGGGCTCCACATCTGAGACCTGGGCATTGTGTAAAAAACACGGTTGACAAACAAGATAGCAAGAGTTTGGGTTAATTAGACAAGCATGTGGCCTTGAGCGCAGTTTCTTTGAAGAATCTCTGTGGAATCAAACTCAGAAAAGCAGCTCTGGGGTTTTTTTGACAGGAAACTTGAGGGACAGTGATTTCATGTGAATGGGGGAGGATCATATTGTGAAATAGTTTAGGATGGTCTCTTAACTCAAAGTGAATCATCCATGACAGTCACTGACTTGTACGCAGAGAAGATGCTGAATTTATGTGTGTTTTGCTGTGTGTTTTCTCAACAATCACACATAAAATAATGTTACAAAAGAAAGACATATTTGGGCACAGTATTCCAGTAATAGCTCCAGGAATCCAAAAAGTCATGATGGACAGCAAGTTTTTTGGAAACACCTCATGATGGTGTTGGTTCATCCACTCTGGTTGCAAAGGTGTTTCTTGGAAGAAGCTGAGCACTGTGTTATCACAAGAGCCAGGGTCCTCCAGAAGCCAAGGAAGTAGCTGGCAAAGCCTTGAGTGGCCTGCAAAAGCACTATTGACCCTTTTTCAGCCCTGCCCTCTCCGGTCCATTGATCATTGTCTGAAGGACTGATTGTGATCAACAAAGGAAATGAACATTCAGTATTTCACTTCCTGTCACTTTGGCAAGTTCAAAATATAATAATCTATATCCAAGTAGATTTACCTCTAGTGCATTTTCCTTGGAGTCTCTAGGTGGTACGAATGGTTACATGCTCAGCCACAAATCAGAATGGTGGCAGTTCAGATACACTCAGAGGTGCCTCCAAAGAAATGCCTGGAAAATGCTTTCTAAAAAATCTCTGCCACTGAGAAGCATATAGGGCACAAGCATTCAGTACATATGGTGTCAGAATACTTTGAACAAGAAGAAAACAAAGTTGTCTTCAGTAGCCAAATTTCAGATAGTAAACATCAGAAGCAATCACTCTCTATCTGACACCAAAAGGTATTCAGACTCTGATCATTAGCCCTTAACCAGCCATAGATCCATTGCGGCAACATGATGAGGGATCAGAGCACCCTCCCTCACACCTGAACTCTCACATTTGCTCTCAGTGTTCAGCTACACCTCTGAATTCTAGTTTCCCGCAGATCGTTGCCCCAGAGTTTCAGGGCAGGAAGGACCCAACCCCACAAAATCCCTGCTTCCAGTAGGGGACCTGTGCTGTCTGCCATTGACTCAGAGCCCTCCATGGTCAGTGGTGGGAGTTGGAATTTCAAATTGCCTCACACTGGGTAGTTAGAGCCACCCTAGTCCTGAAGGAAGGGGTCCTGGTAGCTTGGCATCTAAGAACACAACTGCTGACCCAATGCTTGGTGATTGAAAACCATCCACTGCTCCCCAGGGAAAGATGTGGTTTCCCTTCTTTAAGATGAAAGCCTTGGAAGCTGTTGTGTCTGGTCTACAATGTCCTACAGGTTCGTTCTGAAAGACAGATTTTAATTTGAGAGGCAAGGATCTGCACTTGTAAGAAATGATGGGCTGGGAGAAGAGGGGAGGAGGAGTCCTGGTGCATGTGTGCAATGCTGGGGCCCACGGCATAGGGGAGTATTCAAACAAAGAGTTATTTAAGTGAGGCATCACCTAGGTCCATAGGTGTGTCCATATGTGTCCATATGGTGTGATCCAAAATGACAAGAACAAAATCCAAATA